TTTGGAATGTTCATTAAAAGGGACTCTGTTCTGAAAAAAAAAAAATTGTTTATTTCTATTGCATACGGCTATAAATGGGATGAAAAGAAATTTTCGAGTTGACAATGCTTATTTTAATAAACTTTTTGAATTACTTATCTTTATATTTGAATAGTAGAAAATGTAGAAAATTATTTTAATACTACAGAAATTCGAAAGTGTACAAATGCAACTAAATAACTATGCTTGCTTAAATTTTTTCAAAGAAATATTTCTATAATGTTAGAGTTATTTTAATATAACTATAAATACGTATATTTACCATTGTACAAATTACTACAAGTTACTACAAATATTAGCTATATTGTATTAGTTACATTTTGTTATATTTTTAAGTGATGGTTCAAAAAATCAGTAGGAAGAATCAGGGCCGTATTTACCATAAGGCGCATTAACCGCAATCTGAGGCCTCACTCCCTATAGGGCGACATTTTAACACCTTACTCCTTACAAACAACAGTATATAAAACAGCCTAGTTATAGCTACAAAATAAAATACTTATTTTTAATTATTAAATTCATAATATAAAAACAAGGGGCCGCTGAAAACGGAAACGCTATGTACACAAATGTAATAACATTTTCAAACAATGTCTACACTATTTTTCTTATTCCCTGGAAAAAGATAGGGAGAGAGCGAATGGGACAAAGAGCGAGAAAGAGAGAGAGAGAGAGAGAGAGTGAGAAAAAGAGAGAAGTAATTGTTCGATATCCACGAGGTCCAGCAATTCTGAAGGCGAACCATCATGTCGGCGTCTCGATTGGTACGGACGTACGAGCACGCACGTATTCGCGGTAGAAGACTGAAAGGACACGTCTCGAATATTTTACCCCGGGAGTTTTTCCTCTCTAATTGATTCAATCGGCGAAAAACACGGCAGGAACGCTTCACCCTCCGGGAATTTTCACCCACCGCCTCACACCACCTCCACGTCATCCGCGCTTTCAGCAACCAACCACTGTAACGAGACGCCTGAACTAACCTTCCTTTTCGATGAAAACGCCAACCCCTCTTCGCGGTTACTCCCACCCACCGCTTCCCTCTCTACAACTTTTCTCTCTGTCTCTTTGTTTCTCCCTTCAACATTATTGCCTACTGTTATTTTCATCTTTCTCGCATCATCTCTTTCCTCTCGATTCTAAATTTCTTCATTATTTCCCTAATCGTACGTCGTAATCTTTTGATCACTACTCTGTCCTTCTTTCAAACGATATCATACATACTCTTCATTCCTTTTTACGCTATCCAATCGATTTTTACACTTTTTCCTTTTCCTACTTTCATCTGTTGTTTACGATCTTTCCCAGCTTCCTTTTCTATTTCACTGATCCCTTTTCTATTTATTCGTTCTGCTTCGTTACATTCCGTTAGGTGTTCCACTTAAAAATAGTATACATCAACACCACTTATGTCGAGGTAATTCTATAAGTTAATATAGAAACATTTATACGCAGAAACAAGAGCCGAAGCAGTATTGCCATTTCCATGAGTTTATTCATCTGTGGGAACGCGTACCTATCTTCTCGTGAAAACACACTGGAAACAGAACTTTCTGCAAATGATGGAAACTCGCAAATTTTCCGTTTGTTATTTTAATTAGAGCCTTCGGGCTATACTTAACGAGAATCTGACTGTCTGCGTTTACATTATGTACCTCCACAAAACGACAGTGAAGTATGATATCGGTTTCTATATAACGCCCTCTAATCGGTCTCAATCAAGTGAAACAGAAAAGTCCGACTGTTGGTAAGTAAGTACGTATGGATATTTCTCATTCATCTATTACATATGTATTTTACATATATTTATTCTTATATCGTACTCTGCAATTGTTATCGTAAAAAATAGTTGTAGGGAACACTATACGTTAGTTTTTACTCTTTTCTTTCTTCCCTTCTTTTTGTAGAATACACTAAACGTTTAATCTACTGTTATTATTAATCAAAAACTGAAGTAAAATATAGAAAGCTACTACTTATTTTTCATAAAGTGAATTCTTAATTCTAAGAGTGTCACAGTAAAAGGATAGAACTCTAAGGAAGTGTCTCGATCGTTTTTTCTCCAGTTTTTTGATACCAGTCATAAAATTGTCTTACTGGCTAAAAAAGGTTAGGTCTTTTCCGTTAATGCGAAAACGCTAGCGGAAATAGTTTTTTGCCGTTAGAAGATACCGTTTACAAAAAGCAGTAGAAAAATATAATTTACAACGTTAACGTTTTTTACTTGGTCAGTTAGGAAAAGAAGATAAAAACCTTAGTGCAAACCTTCCTGCTGGCAACATTTGTTCAACTGTCGTGCAAAAAGTGTACATGACGACACGAACGTTTTAAGTTTTAAATCCAATGCTTACTGGAAAACAGATAGTCCTGTTGTAAACCGACAATAATTTAGTTTTTACTTAAAAAACTGACATTCCAACTTCGTTCCTTTACTGAGTACCGTTTCTTGCACATTTTCTTCAAAGGTGCTACTATGTATAGACAATTTTTAAATGGAGTTATAAAGATTTATGATATTTCTGTACTTTTAAAATACCTATATCACCATGTTTTTTCTTCTTTTTTTTTTTAAGGACCTGACACTTCCCCATATTTTCCATGTGTTAGGTTAGGTTAAGTTTTATTAAACATACCTTATGATTAATTCATTCCACTAAAAGGATGCAAGAATATATCTATTTCGCTTACATTTTATGAATAATTAAATGAAAGATTTGCCGAAAACGATCTTTTTATAAAATTAACTTAAATTTTTAAAAAGTAATTGTAAAAGCTATTCTTTAGTTGCTTATCTTTAACCCTCTCCAAGCTAATGATTCGATTTGTTATCATGTACTATTTTTGCATTTATATGCTGTATTTCTGTCCATATATGTCATTTGGTATCATTTTTTAATAAAATAAACATTTTTACAAGTGGTCACACTGTTACATTTGGTAAATTTAACTATTTTAAAATTATGTTGGTAATAAAAAAATTATCTTTAAACATATGTATTTCATTCAGATTTTTTTATTACAAATATGCATCTATAATATAACATTTCTTAAATGCAAGAAATGTTTTATACATAATCATTTAATGCAACGAGGTAAAAAAAGATGTGATCACTTATTTCGTGTCATTATTATATTTGGTACTTACAGTAGGTATTTATGTCACTTGAGAAATGAACTCAACATTTTCCTTTTTTTAAATATTTCACTCGAAAATACTTTTCGAATGGTTTTAAAAATAATAAAGAAATATGTATTTACATTTAAACATTTATTATACGAAATTTTTCGTAATAACTAACTAATATAAGACTTAAAAAGCCATTGAAATTACCATTTAAAAAAAAAACAAAAGCGAAAATGTGGACAGGACGCAGATGGAACCAATATTGATTAAATACTGCGCGGAATATTTTGAAATCGGATATTTTAATTTGTAAATAGAGCATATTATTTTCAGTGCAACGCATTGTGACAGCAGGGCCCTTGGGTTCAGAAGGACCGCTTTTAATGACCCGGACGTGGATGGTTCCACCTCGCAGTGTTGTATTCAATTCCAATCTCTGTGCTCTCCGTAATCTCAAGGTAATTCTCATTCCGATTCTCCGACCCCTTTCGCCCCTCAATTCCGACTCATGTTACGTGCCTTTGGGCTTGCACCGATTTTTCTTATAGTATGCTATTTTCAAATCGCCCACAAGCTATCTCGACCAATTGCTTGCAGCTCTTTTCTTTGTTTACAATTTTGTCGCAACAAACGCATTTATTTCTATAATACTCTCTCACCTATTTCGATACTTGTTGAATATACAGGATGAAAAACGTAAAACAGGCCACTTAATTATCTTGTGTAATTATAGTAGTTCTACTTAGAATATTTTTATATATAATTTAAATGGTTTCGAAGGGTGAATAAGATGGAAGAAAAATTTGTTTTTGATGAAAGAAATGGCAAAAAGTGAAAGGAAGTTTCACATTTAATTAAAAATTTTCGAGTCCAAGCTCATTTTGAGGTTATATTGTTATGCACATTTAAATGCACCTCGATACAACAGACAGTAGAAAAAGAATATATGCATTCATGTAAAAAAAATATAGTTAACCCCGATTTTTTTATTGAAGAAAGAGTATTTTTGCAGTGTTGTTGACGATCCAGCACTGATTAGTTTTTGTTTCTAATATTTTTTTGTCCGACTACTGGAAGTGTCTCAAAAATCGTAGTAGACACATTACGCTGATCACCCTGTATATTGCATATTGCATATTTTCTAATTACATTTCCTTCTAAATACTGACAGAAATATATATAAAATAAAATAATTTAACGCGTAGATTTAGAAAACTAAGATTTTCAGCCTTATTGCACTCTTCACGTAAAAACTTCAATAAAACCTAAAATATCACATCACCTGACAAATAAATTCAATTTCATATCTATAGGGTGCGCCACACCATAGCTAAAAATATTCAATATTTGAAGTCTTCCTTTGTATCTAAGTAAGGCTACCATATTTTACCCAACAATGGTAATTTCATTATAATAAACCTATATAAAAAACATATTGATTTTATTAGTTTTTACTAAACACTTTAATGTGAAATGAAAATATATTTTATTATTCAAATTTAACATCACATGTACCTTAAGATGACACTACTCTTTATGACAAATAGAAAATTATTGAAAGAATGGAAACCTCGTCTGTGCTTGTAGCCGTTTGATGGTAACTACAAAATGCTTCATGGATCCTCTTTAGATAATACAACATGTGTAACACAACTGTCATTTTTCACATCACAGTGTAAAAAAAATAATGAATACAAGTCAAGGTGATTGATATGTCAATTATGCTTCTGATTAATTTTTACTACGTAAATGAAATTAATATTTTAAAATGTGTAGAAAAAGATAACCATTAAATTTATGTAATGAGTGGAAAAAGTTGCGCAATACGTGAATTCATTTAGCCGCTTCCCAGTTGTGTTCTAGTCGAATAAATTCTTTTATAATTTAATTTTAAGAGGAACAGTTGATTATTTGGTGCACGGAGTTTACAGTCATAGATACAGATGAACCAACTCATAAAACGCGCAATTTCTGTCAGCGGACGATCGTCATTTATCTGTCTCGTAAGGAGATTCCGCGTGTCTTCTCAAAACATGGTTATCGCAGTAAGTTATGTTTTATATTGAATTTAAGACATAATAAAATAAATAAATATGATCTAAGTGCTACAAGTATTTACTGTTTATTATTATTTATATTGTTAAAGATAAAGAACTCCAAAGTTCATATATTACTTAATTTTTGTGAAATATAAGTACATTCAATAATCTTTTTAGGTAGGTGACAAGCTGCCCACAGTTGATCTTTTTGAAGATTCTCCTACAAATAAGGTGAATCTTGCAAAAATTGCATCTGGGAAAAAAGTTGTAGTTTTTGCAGTACCAGGAGCTTTCACTCCAGGATGTTCAAAGGTAGGTATTGCTTCTCTTATTTACAAATTGTTTGCAGCATTTTTAATGTATTTTATTTAACACAGCTATATAGAATATCATTTAATGAAATACAGTAATTCTTTTTGTTTATTTAAGTTAAAACATAAATGGAATGAAATAAATATAGGCATAAATAAAATTCAGAAATTACAAAAATGTTTAAACCAATGATCATAATTTTTTAACAAGTTCTGTAATAATCTATTTATTTACATTTAATGTAAATGTAATGTACCTGTATATGTTATATTATAGTTTTATAAGAATTACTTCATGAAAGATCATCTGATGGTCAACATATTATACATGGATAAATTTGTTTTTCCATCGGTTACAGTATTGTACTAATGAAAATATTCTATTGCATTTAAAAAAATTTGGATGACCTTGAAATTTCAAAAAATATGACCTTGAGAAAAAACCTGTCACAATATTTGTTCCTTTGAAGTGAATACTTTCTCTTTTCACATTTTCTTATGATGTTAAAAGCAATAGAGATATTTTATATTGTAATCTTAGGTTGTTCATTCTATATATATAAACTTGATATTATTTCAGACACATCTTCCTGGTTATATACAAAAGGCTGGAGATTTAAAATCTAAAGGAATAGCAGAAATCTTTTGCATTTCTGTAAATGATCCATTTGTCATGGCAGCATGGGGTAAAGAACATGGAGCAGAAGGCAAGGTAATATGATGTAGTAAAGTTATATTGTATATTTTTTTTAATAAACAACACATGACATTTGAATTATTTTATGTTTCTCTATGTAGGTACGCATGTTAGCAGATCCAGCAGCTCAGTTTACAGATGCATTGGAACTATCTGTAGATTTACCAGTGTTAGGTGGAAAAAGAAGTAAACGCTACTCAATGGTTCTTGAAGATGGAGTAGTTAAAGAAATAAATGTTGAACCTGATAATACAGGACTTTCATGCTCTTTAGTAGAAAATATTAAAGTTTGAAATGTATGTCATTAAATATTACATAGAAAGCTTACTAAAAAGCTTATAGACTGATACTTTAATTAACTTATAAATTCTGGTACAAGCTTCTTAGACATTCACATAATACACCAATTATTCATTATGTAATATTGTCATTTATCAAATATACTTATATAAATTTTATACAGTGTACTTTATTTAATGCTTCTTACCTAGAATACCTAGTAAATGTTGAGCTTCAATATTTATGAAATTTATTTTATACTTGAAGAAATATTTGTCTTAAAAAGAATTTAAAAAAATAAATTTTAAGTGTTAACATTATTTATAAATAAAAGACTAGTTTAAGAATTGATAAAATTATTAAATGTACTTGTTGCGTCCCAGACCCTTAAAGGCGGGTACGCAACGAGAAAGGGTTCTTACCCCATCTCTGGTCTACTGGCTTTAAGCACTGTACACTATTACAGAATAACTGCAAGATTTACCGAAATAAGCACAGAAATATCAATAGAGATAGAGAAGGACAATATTGTAGAATATATACACAATTTGTAGCTGTGGTTTTCCATATAACACAGTTACATTTAGATTTGAGGAAAACATTTTCATTGTATTAGAAATAGTTCATTAGACAGAGTTAAGTTAGAATAGTTTTTAGGTAACATAATTAAGTTAACGCATATTTCCGAATTTTGTTTCTACAACTTTATTACTGTTTGAAACATTAATAAAACTTATCGTTTCAACTGCAACAATAAGCGATCGTGATGTCACAGATCCAACGTCTGAAGCTATGGGGTTGTCAGAGGGTATAATACTATCAGTTACATGAGTGTTTGAAAGTACTATGAACCACTTGACAAGGGGCATGCTGAGAAGAGGATGAAAGAGAAAGGAAGCGTTTCACCTCAGGATCCGTCTGACTAGACTTTTTTTTCTTTCTATTTGTTTATTGCATAATAAACGTATATATAATGTATAAACTTAACCTACGGTGAAATTATACAATGCTTATTACATGTACTTGATAAAAGTCCCTTCGCGCTTCTTTATTGTGGCTGTACCATCCTCTTTCGTTTCGGTTTTCCTAAAGCCTAATCGCTTCCAATGCTTACAATTAAAATATCTATATGTATGATGATTTACATTTCTGTTTTATTTTTCCTGCTACTACTTGCGAGAGAATGAAGATTTGAGAGACTTCGATAAGACATCTGGTAGCCATCGTTCTAACCACTTAGATGAGGAATTTGAGAGATTTACAAGCGCCCACCTGCAAAGAAGCCCAGGGCACTCAGGGACGTCACAACAAAATATTTGTGGTTGAGCAACTTAAAATGTAACTAAAAAACCTACATAACCTTATAACAGTGAAAATTATTATACGTATTAAAGTATGATAACTTTATTAAAATTTGTAGTATCAACCATAAACACCTTATATTGCATTTATAATAATAAGAAGCATCAATATATAAAATATCATGATCGTTCATAAATTTGTGTTTATTCAAAAATGAAGTTGACAATACTACGTAACTAGTTTCAGGGCAATCAAAAAACCAATTGTTGATATATAGTGCTTGTTTGTGTTAGAAACTTTATGGCGCCAATTGTACCACTTCGCTGTTATTTGTGAATTTTTTTTAAATATTTTCAAAAATGCCGGCATTTTTGAAGCATATCGAAGTAGAAAACTTTAAGTCATACAAAGGAAAGTTTATTATAGGACCTTTAAAATCGTTTACTGCTGTTGTTGGACCAAATGGATCTGGTAGGTTATGTTCTACTATACTTGTACA